AGCGGAAGCACTTAACTGAGCCAGCCAGGTGCCCCACCCCAAACTCGTTTTTATTTGCCTTTTGGGTAGCTTTTGTATTAATATTTGAATATCCTTGTTTTTTAAGCAACGTGTAATTCACAGACCACGTTATAGTTCCAGATGTACAGCATACCAATTTGATATTTCTATGTACTGTGAAATGATCACAGTTAGTCTAGTTAACCCTTGTCATAAAGCCTTTAAAGAAGATACACTCCAGGACGCCTGGGTGGCTCGGTCAGTTAAGCGTCTGCCTTTGGCTCAGGTCATGATCCCGGGGTCCTGGGCTCGCACCCTGCCTGCCTTGGGAAGCCTGCTTCTCCCTCTGCCTGCTGTTCTCCCTGCTCTTGTGTGTGCGCGCGGTGTCAAATAAAATCTCTTTTTAAAAAAAGATACACTTTTAGCAACGTTGCAATATACAGTAAGTATAACTGGAAGTTTGTAGATTTGACCACCCATTTCTTCTGTGCTGCTGGCAACCACCATAATGTATCTATTCTCTGTATCTATGAACTTGTGGTGTTTTTTGGTGATGGTGGTGGTTTTGTTTAGATTCCACGTATAAGTGAGACTATGGGATTTGACTCTGAGTTAGTCCACTTGGCATAATGCACTCAAGGTCCATCCGCGTTGTTGCAGGTGGCGAGATTCCATTCTTTTTATGGCTGAGTAATACCCCACTGTGTGTGTATATACTACCTCTCTTACCCATTCAACCGTCAGTAGAACTTAACATTGTTTCCGTGTCTTGGCCACTGGAAATAATGCAGTGAACATGGGGGTGCTTCTCTCTTCCAGTTAGCACTTGAATGTTCTTTGGATAAATACCCAGAAGTGGGATTGCTGCATCATCACTTTTGAGGAACCTCCATACTGTTTTCCATAGTGACTGCCACTTTGCATTTCCACCAACGATGCACAGGGGTTTCCTTTCTCCACATCCTCACCGGCACTATTTGTCTTTTGGGTTTTAGATCTAGCCAATCTGACACGTGTGAGGTGAACTCACTGTGATTTTGATTCGCATTTCCCTGATCAGTGTTGACGAGCACCTGTTCACGTACCTGTTGGCCATCTGTGTCTTAAGGAAAACGTCTATTTGGATTCTCTGCCCATTTTTAAATTACATTGGAGTTTTTTGCTATTGAGTTGGAGTCGCTTGTGTATTTTTGGTGTTAACCTCATGTCAGAAACATGATTTGCAAGCATTTTCTCTTTTTCAAGATTGATTTGGGATCTTTTGTGGGTCCGTACAAATTTTAGGGTTGATTCTTCTACTTATATGAAAAACGCCTTTGGTGGGGCGCCTGGGTGGCTCAGTTGGTTAAGCCTCTCTCTGCCTTTAGCTCAGGTCATGATCCCAGAGTCCCAGGATAGAGCCCCACTTGTGCTCACACCACGCTTGCGCTCTCAAATGTTTTAAAAAAAGAAAACACCTTGGGAATTTCGATAGGGATTACATTGAGTTGGTCTATTGCTTGGGGTAATGGTATTTTAACTATTTTTCCAAATATGAGCGTGGAACATCTTTTCCTTTTGTGTCTTCAGTCTTTTTCTCGTCAGTATCTTAACGGTTTTTAGTGTACAGGTTTTTTATCTCTTTGGTTAAATCTATTTCTAGGTATTTTATATTTGTTGATGTTTTGTAAATAGGAAGATAGCATGTCTTCTGTTCATTCATCGGTGCAAAAAACAAAGCCATGTTACAACTTGGGGTATTGGGAAAGGTAGAGTGTATTTCTCCATTTCGATCCTATCTCTTTCCCATCAGCTGTGCTAGGAAAACTGTCACTTTTCACAAAGTCAGGGAGCTTTCCCTGGGAGCAAGGGGTCATGATGCCAAGAATATTGGAAGTGCCCAGTAATACGGAGCTTGCTTGAATTGTTTTGCTATAATTAAAGATAATGGCCACTTCATAACAAGTGAAACACCCTCTTTAAGGGGGTGGGCATAGTTGGGTTTTACCCCAGGGACAGTGTGTTGATGAGCTACGAGCCTTTGTGGTAATCGCAGTGAGTACGCGCCTTCGCGCCAGGGTCTGCCCCCAGGATCACAAGGGCAGTCTGGCATGGAGTGGTCTGGAGCCGTGGGCACGGTGCAAGACCTCCTGTGCCCGGGGCTGCTGGGAAAAAGTCAGAAGCTGACATCTGCTGAGTTCGCTCTTGCCATGCATTGTTAGCACATCCACACCATAATTTTTTTAGTGAAAACCACAGAATGATAAAGTGAATGACGATATTCAACTTAAACATGTGCCCGGCCTGTGACTTTTCTCAGGTCTAGAAGCTAGGTACTGCCAGTCCAGTGTTAACCAGTAAGGAAGGTGGTTTAGCCTCAGATTTGACTAGTAGGGCTTCCCCAACTCCAGCAGGTTAGCTCTTGAAGCTCTGTGCTTCATTGTGGGAGTTAAGCAACAGTTGCACAGAGTCTTGAAGGGAAATGTTAAGTCCTTTTCTGGGGATTGTCTCATTACTCTCCTGACACCTCCAAGGAAAGTTCTCCTTCTTCCAGATGAGGACAGAGATATGTATGGTCACTTGCCCTCTTTGGTAAGAGTGTGGCCATAGTGACCTGCCTTAGGGTTGTGAGGGGATTGCAGGAGTCACAGTGGCCATACATTCATTTCATGATAACGGAGCTCCTTAAGAGGTGGGGGATTCGAACCCAAGAAGTCTGAAGTGAGCCAGACACCTCAGTCTGTACTTCCTTCTCTCCTACCAGGTAATGCACTGCTGCGGCGACTAGTGCGCATTGGAGTGCTGGATGAGGGCAAGATGAAGCTGGATTACATCCTGGGCCTGAAGATCGAGGATTTCTTGGAGAGGCGCCTGCAGACCCAGGTCTTCAAGCTGGGCTTGGCCAAGTCCATCCACCACGCCCGCGTGCTGATCCGCCAGCGCCATATCAGGTAACGCCTCTAATGGGCTCCCTGAGTCTGTCTTCTGTCCCATCCCCCATGTTAAGTTTGCTGTCCTTACCTCCTATGCAGCCCTCGGAGGTGACAGGTGTGAACACACCTTGAGGGTACAGATTGACCCCTGAAAACAGCTCATGGGGTGCTGGGGACAGCCTCATTCCCCACCCCGTAGCCCAGCGCAAGGGTCACTGCGGCCTGAGCCGTACACCTTGCGAAGGCTTCTTCAGGCATACAGGCAACCAGACAGGTAACCACTCAGTGTGCCCAGTTGAGAGAAGTCGATGGGCCTCAGCTGATGTGGGTGGGTTTGTGGATTCAGCTGTCTCATGTCTTTGCACACTGTCATTGTTAACTTGGCGAGTGGATACAGCCCGTGGTCTGATACTCAAGTGCTGGGAGAACGGGAGTCCGGCTGGCTTGGGCAGATGGGTCTTTCATCTGGGTGCTCGATTTGCCCTTTTTCAGATTTTGTAGAACAGAGTCTCAGCTGCCCCAAGGACAGGGAGGCTGCTCCTTAGAGAGTAAAACCCCGTGTCTGGCACTTTGAGACTCAGACCCTGGAATTACTGGCTGCCACCAGCTTGCTCTCCAGAACACGTGGGTGCTGGAGGGTCAGGAACTCCTTTCTGGTTGGTATCGCTGCAGCACCAACCCTATCAAGTCCAAGCAGAGAGCAGCAGTGTCTCTTCCCACTGGGTCCTATTCTCCCGTCCCCTCACCTGCCATCCCCTCTCCAGGGTCCGAAAGCAGGTGGTGAACATCCCGTCCTTCATTGTCCGTCTGGATTCCCAGAAGCACATTGACTTCTCCCTGCGTTCTCCGTATGGGGGTGGCCGCCCCGGCCGTGTGAAGAGGAAGAATGCCAAGAAAGGCCAGGGTGGGGCTGGAGCTGGCGATGACGAAGAGGAGGATTGAGCCCACCCTTCCATCCCCTCAGGGTGTGAATTGTCAGTTTCCCAGTCAGATAATAAAACAATCAACCCTTTGGAACTGGTGTTTATTGGTGTGTGTGTCTCCCTCCCTGCTCTGAACATACATACAGCCTCTGGTGGGAAGAGGCACAGGCTGGATCCTTGACCAGGTTCCGTCCAGCTAGTTCACACCTCTGAGCCTTGCCTGCTTAGAGGGGCCTGGCGAGCCTACCAGCTGGTGTCCTTGGTGCTTGGGACAGGGGTGCAGTTGTGAGCAGCACAAACATACACCAGTTATTTCAGCAGGGACACCGGTATTAGGGGAAATTCTCAAGCCAGCTGTTGGCATGGGGGTGGAGAGATTACTTTGCAGGCAGAGGAAGTAGCAAGTGGAGGGTCAGCCCAGTGTCTCTACCCCTTTGAACCTTGACCCTGGCAAAAAGAAGTCAGGGTTAAGGTTGACAGGAGGTGAATGCTGAACCTTGGGTTGCAGGTGAGGATGAACTAGTTGAATTGGTGTTTGCTGGGGAGCACTGAACAGGAAGGACAAGCTGGTTTAAAGCTTACTGGTGTGGTTGGGAAGGGGCAGCTGGGGCACCCTGCTCCCCTCCCCCTGCCTCGGGAGTTTCTGAACACAAGGTCAGGAGGGAGAGCAGCTTCCCTTTTCTCTGCCTTGTTGAGAGCTGCACCTGGCAGAGGAAGGGGCTTGGTCTCAATGAAACCGGAAGCCCTGGCATTGAGCAACCCCTCGGGCTGCAGCATTGCTCATGAGTCATCTTTTGAGGCCTTGGGCTCTGAGGTCAGTTGAAAGTGCCCAGCTTCAGTGTGATGGCAGTGGGTACTGCAAAGCCTCCAGAAGGTCCCCAGTTCTTGCAGCTTAGTGCTGGGTTCCCCCTGACACCACAAGGTTGCCACTTGGTAATTAAAGGTCTTGGCGTTTCTCAGGGATCCTCCTAGGCACAGTAAGATCAGCTGTGCCATGATGGGAATTCAGGAAGCAACTTCCACAAGGTCCCAGGAGTTGCTGGTGGTCTGTGTCCTGCCTCCAGGCTCCTTAGGTGGCACCCACTGTGGGCAGCTATTGTGCCTTCCAGGATCCCTGCAGGGAGCCTTGCAGACTCCTGGAGTGGCTGTGTGGGTCCTTCCTGGGCTAGTGGATGGCCAGAGAAGCATACACGTTGGGCTCCTCTGGGGGCTCCCCTGGTTGGGAGGAAGGGGGTGCACCTGTCTCCTGTGTGAGGGTCAAGTAGTTCAGCTGGGCATAGGTCACATCTTGAGGGTCTTCAGATACCGCAGCCTGGAACTGGGGGAAAGGAAAGGCACGTAGCTGGGGAGGGGAGGTTGCACTCCCTCGGGGTCTAAGGACCTTGCTAGACAGGAGTGGCCTTGAGCCAACTCTTGCCCTCCTTCAGTGTATCTGGGGAGGAGGGGTGTGAATTGGAAATGCCTGTGGTGTAGACACAGGGAGTGGGCTCGTGGGTAGTTGGCCATGGGAATCGTGCTGGGCGAGGTCAAGGCTGGAGGCAGGAATTGAGGTGGGCCATCAACGTGGAGGGACAGGCAGACCCAGCGCCCCCTGCAAGGGGGCTCAGCTCAGCCAGCTCGTTGGCCAGGGTGAACTGCGTGAACCTGCCACAGGTGGCCGGGGAAAAAACAGAAAGGAGAAGGCTGAGTGAGGCTGTAGGACCACTGTGTGGAGTTGAGGCGCCTTCTCTGGGCCTCCACAGGCCCAGGGCGTGGTTCAGCCCCGCTGTGCAGGGCACACACCGTTCAGCCCTAACCTCCAGCTCCGCCCACTCGAGTGTCCCAGCGGCTGGAGACCAGGAGAGGCCCAGGGGAGCGGGGTTGCCGCAGCACAGAGAGTGGTGGGCTTCCAGAAGGGAGAGGCCTGCTGCTGGGCGGAGAGTCCACTGGTTTACCCCGTGAGCAGGGAGGCAGGGGATGACCTGTCAGAAGCACAGGGAGCTCACCTGGCTCTCCAGCTGTCTGTCTTCTTCAGGCTGTGTGTCTTCCATGACAGCATCTGGTGGGGACAGAACAAGGTGGCCCCTCTCTTGCCAAGATCCCCTGAGATCTCACATGGCAGGAGCCCAGAGAGGGTCTGTGATGTTACAAAGCCACACGGAGTCAGGATGCTGATCCCCGCCTCCACCGCCCACCCGCATCTCTGGGCCCGCCTCCTCCCTCCCCCAGGGCGGCCCCATGCCTCCCCTTACACAAGGACTCCTCCTGGGCAGTGGCGGCCGGACCGGGCCTGGGGAGGAGACGGGGGAGTTAGCGGCAGTGAGGGGCCACTGGCTGGCAGGAGTCGGGGTCTTGGGGTGGTCTTACCTGCCGTGCAGGCCTCTGTCCTCAGACACCTTGGCTGACACTGCTGTAGGAAGTTGGAAATCTGCTTCAGGCTCCCCCCCATCCCCGAACCCTCCAGGGCCTGCCTTAAGCTGAGGGGCTGTATGATCCCCGCCCATCCCCACATACAAGTCAAGAGAAAGCAGTTCTGAACAATGAAAAACAAAGCTTGTATGTGTTTTCAAACATTTCATAAGTTTGAAAAGCCAAAAGGATAAAATATTTACACGTATGTTCACATGTACCCTTCTTTCTAGGGTTTCTCCCTGGGAGATGCTGGAGTCTTTCTACACGGCCTTTCCCACCTCTCTGGCTTCCCTCTCTGGCTGGTGTTCTGAGCCCACCCTCGGTCGGCCCACGGGGCAGCCACCACCCCCTGGGGCCCGTCACCCCCTCCCCTTCTCACCTGGCTTCCTGCCTCTGCCCCGACGCCGGTGTCGGGCCAGGAGGAGGCCGAGGAGGCCGAGCAGCAGGATGAAGGCCACCAGGACCCCGATGAGGACGTACAGGTACGAGTGGGGACCTTGGGCAGGAGCCACACCATGAAGGAGCCAGTGATGCCATTTAACTGAGCACCTACTGTGTGCCAGGCACCTGCTGGGCTCTGTGCATTCACCTCTGACCCTGTCAGTGATCACGCAGCAGGGCATTGCCGCCCCTCCCGCCCCCTCCACAGACAGGAAACTGAGGCACAGAGAGGTCGTTCCCGTGTCTCAGGTCGCCCCGCGTGGGGGCGGCAGGGCTGGGGCTGGAACCAGGGCTGTGGGTTCCCTGGTAGGATTTGAGGTTTTTTCTTGCTGCCCCCTTACCCTCCAGGCAGAAGACCTGAGTGGAGACCTGTCCACCAAACCCAAGCCCAGACCCGTCTCCCCAACTGCACAGGCCTGACCCCCCACAGGGGCCTGTGTGGACCTGGAGTGTGTACATGGGTGAGGGCAGGAGGGAGGGCTCTGCCTCTCCAGAGATCCAAGAAGGGCCATGCTGAGGCCTTACCGAAATCTCACAGCGGCCCTGAGGGAGGTGGCTGGAGGCCTGTTGTGCAGACAGTGAGCCTGGGCCACCAAGAGGGACATGACTTGTCCAAGAGCCCACAGCTGGGAAGTAGCAGAGCTGGGGTCTGATCGTGGGGGTGTGACTTCCAAGCCTTGTTCTTGCCCTGACTCCCCAGATGCTCTCAGGCTGGGCCCCCTTACCTTCTGTGAAGGTGAACTCACACACCTCCTGTGTGTGCCTACTCCCCCGCCCCGCACAGGGATGGGGCCACCTTCTTGCCCTTCGCAATCAGATTTGCAATTGGAGGAATTGTCCCAGTGAGAAGGAACTTTTCTCGGGCCGTAATCTCAGGAAGTGGCTGAGGCAAGCCTAGGCTGAGCTCCTCCCACCCACCACCTCCCAACAGAGACCCCACTTACCCCTCTGTGGGATGAGGGGTGCATCCTGAGAGCCTCCTAGGAACACCACAGGAAGGTGGGGGGCAGGTGAGGGGCAGGGGCTACGTGCTCCCAACTTCAGGGTGCTCCTCCCCCCACTGGGTGCCACCCTCTCCCTCTGCCATGACCACACCACCTGCCACCTGGCCCAGGCTCAGAGCCCCCAGGGCCCCGTGGTTACCCCAGACAAAAGCCATGCCACAGAGGATGACCTTCTGTGACCCCCCCCAACTCCCATCCCCTGAGGACAGGTTCCTGAGCTGACGATGAGGACAAAAATAGGACAGGGCTGGGCTCCTCACCAGAGACCAGGAGCTCCAGGGGGTCACTGTGCTGTGACAACAGGTAGGGGGAGTTGCTGTGTGAGCTGTAGCACCTGTAGGTCCCCTCGTGGTCTGAGGTCACAGGACTCAGGGTGAACTTGACCTGGTAAGGTATCGCTGTGTCCTGCAGATGAAGGACCTGGGGAGGAGCCAGGGACCCCTCCTTGGACAGGTGGAAGCTATCAAACCCGACCTCAGAGCGACACTGCAGAGTCACGTTCTCTCCCCAGGACACTGAAGGCCCTGGCTGGGCTGAGAGGGACGGTTTCTCATACATTCCTGGGGGAGAGCAAGGTCGTGACGTGTAGAGAGCCCCCCTCCCCACACGCCCTTGACCCTGAGCTGGGGACCACCACCCTCTCTCCAGGGACTCTCTGTGGGACCCCCCTCAGCACCTCTTGTCTCTCTGAGTGGGTGTCCTTTATCTCCATGGCCCTCACTGTCCCTTTCTTAGTCCCTGTCTCTAGACCACGTCCCCATATCAGCCTGTGCTCCTGACCCCTTCCCTGGACCCCATCGCCCAGGGGCAACCGTGCTCCCAGGCCCTGAGTCGGGACGTGGGGCAGGGGGCTCCTCACCTGTGATCAGGACGTCCAGAGGGGCACTGGGTGCCGACCACGTGGAGGAGAGCTTGTGTCCACAGTAGCATCTGTATCGGCCCCCGTGGGAGGGGCTCACAGGGCCCAGGGTGAAGTTGGGGCTGGGCTGCCCATCTAGACGCTGGGGAGCTCTGAGCTCCTCATCCTTGGTCAGAGCGAATCTGTCAAAGCCAGTCTCTGAGCGACACTGGAGGGTCAGGCTGTCTCCAGACGGCACCAGGGAGCCCGGCTGGGCCGAGAGGGAGGGTTCCCTGTAGACACCTGGACAGAAGGGGACAGTGGCACTGAAGGGACTCACACCCAGCTTTGGCCCGGGGCCTGCAGTGAGGTTCTTATGTGTCCCTCCCAAGGCCTCCCACCTGTGGGTCTGGCCCCAGAACGACCTTGTCACCCACCCGCCATCAACCCCAGGGCTCCACTGGGCATATGGCTTAGGTCAGTCATCTGGGCCCAGGAGGTAGATGGGGTGAAGCAGGGGCCCCCTCACCTGTGACCTGAAGGTGCAGAGGGTTACTGGGCTGTGACCACGAATATGGGTACGATTCGGGAGAAACGTAGCATCTGTAGGTCCCCGCATGGGAGGTGTTCACAGGGCCCACAAGGAAGACTGCCTGGTACCACTTACGACGGGACGTCAATTCCAGGTATTGGGGCACATCAGCTCCCCACTCCTTCAGCAGATGGAATGACCCCTGTGGCCACAGTGAGCTACAGGAGAGGGACACATTCCCTCCCGAGGCCACCACAAGGGCTGGGTTGGCTGAGAAGGAGGGTGCATGATACACTCCTGAGGGAGAAGGAAGGAGCTGTGTTATAGGGGCCGTCAACCCATGTACCCCATGTACTGTGGACTGTGAGCAAGGGGTCCCCCTGAGGCCACACTCCATTCCCTTCTGCCTGGAGGAGGGCCCCCAGGGGGAGGGGACCAGCTCCTGCCCTCACCTGTCACCACCAGGGTCAGGAGGTCACTCTGCTGTGACCAGCTCTTCCTTCTCTGATATGCACACTGGTATTTCCCTGAATTGTGTGAGCTCATGGATGCAAAGGAGAAACTGGCCCTGTTGCTGGAAACCTGTGAAGTCTCCATGGACCAGGATCCAGAGACCCTCTCTTTATACAGATAGTAGACATCAGCCTGCAGAGACGCCTGACACCAGATGGTCACAGGGCTCCCCTTGGTGACCATGGGGCCAGGATCAGCCCAGATGGAGGGTTTGGGGAGGGTCTCTGGAAAGGAATCAGATGGAGTTGCAAGGGTGCCCTTCTCTCCTCAGTTTCCCACCTGTCACCCCAAGGTCCTTCCCACACCGGTCACCATCAGCCCTGACCCTCTGTGACCCTCCAGCTGCCCAGGGGGTTGTTGGGCAGAAACAGGAGGTCTGGGGAGGACTTACCGGCCCGTGCCTGGTCCCACAGGCCCTGACACAGCCCTGGAAGAGAGTTCCTGTGAGTGCGTCCCCCACCCACACGTAGCTGCTCCAGGCCTGGTTTGGGCCCCTGGGTACGGGGTCACATCTGGGGCTGAGCACACTCCTTCCCCCAGAAGTTCTGCCCCCACTGATCATCCACAGTCCTGAGATCTCCTGAGATCCCCCCCCGGGGGCTGTGGGGGGGAACCCCATCCCTCCTCATTTCCAGAAAGCTCACCAAGGTAGAGAAGGGCAGTGGGGGTCAGGGTCCCAGCACTGCCTCCCATGGTCCCCAGCCGTGCAGACAGCTTATAAAGTCCTCAGTGTGTGATGGACGGACAGATGCACAGGGTGTGACCCAGCCCAGGCCCCGTGTTGCTGGTCATGTGTCCCAGATGGATGGCCTCACAGGAAGGGGGACAGCCTCCCCAGGGCCTCGCTCTGCTCTCCCTGAAGGGTGGCCTGAGAGCAGCAGGTCCTGGGACTGTTCAAAGCAGATGTGAGTCTCCCCAGGCCACACTCACTCTGCCTCCTCCCCACCAAGCCCAAGTCCAGAGGACAGCACCGGTCCCCTCACGTGAAGCTTGGGGAGGTAGGGCAGGGTCTGGGAGCCAGCCCACTTTCAGTTCCACTTCTGCCCCTTACTCACACAGAGGCTGTGTGACCTGGGCTGTGACACTTCCCTTTCCTGAGCTTCTGTAAATGCAAATTTTCGTCCTTCCTTCCACCACACTGACAATCAGCCAGTGTTTAGTGAGCAGTGACCACATCCAGTCATGGCACCAGGCACTGGAGATTCATTGGTGAGGGGGCAGACTCGTTCCTTCCCTGGATGCATGGGGCTGTGATAACAGACAATATAAATATTAGTGGGAAACAATTCTATTATAGTCTTATAAGACTCTTCCAAGTTTGAAGAAAAAAGAAAACGGAATCATGAGAATCATAATGTGTAGACATCATACAGTCTGGGTCCTGGTTGTGAGGGGTCCTTCTGGGCAGTGGAGTGACGGAAGGCAGGAGCTGGGGTTTAGCACAGAGATGGGAGTGGGGGGCATCCTCAACCAGAAAGATTGGAGCTGTTCTCAGAACTGAGAGCAATCAGGAAGCCAGGGCCTTGTCACACAGGATTTTGAGCATCATGCAAGCATTTGGGATTTCTACTTTAAGGCAATGGGAAAATTTTAACCAGCAGACAATCGAACAAATTTCTGTCTGGAAAAGACTAACGCTGTAGGAAATACAATTAGTAGTCAAACCCCAGCATTTGTCTGGCCCCTGGGTGGTGTGTTGATCACTAACTAAGCTGTGTATGTAGTTTTCTCATTTAAGTCTTACCTGAACCTATCACACAAAACACATGTACAGTTGAGCAGAACGGTAGGTTGGAGAGGAGTTAACCAGGTTCAGATTGGCTGAGGGGACAGCCCAAGAGAAGGCATGGAATTGTTAATAGCTCAGTTTGTGTTACTTGGGGAGGTGTTTGGGTTGGAGTGTAAGTTGTGTTTGCTGGGGCTGGTGGGTTTAGTTCTAGTCTGATGGTCATAGCCTTGAAGATGATATGGTACAACTTAGATCTTTCTGCAGCAGAGTGCGGGAGGGTTTTGAGTCTCCCACAGGATCAGACCAGCCTGGTGATTAAAAGGATCCTCTGGAGGTGGTGGAGGAATAAACTGGGGAGAGGAGAGGCCTAGTTGGAGGAGCAGTGGGGAGGCTGACAAGCTGATGCACACAGGCTTTTTGAGTTCTTGTGATGGATTGGACGTTAAGAGGGTCTCAGGGGCCTGGTGGCGTGTATCCGGTGAGTGGACATGAGCACCAGAGCACGAGGCTATTCCACCCTCTCTCTGGTGCCTGGAGGAGCCAGTGGGGCCACCCAGGAGGATGACCCAGGGAGAGGCAGGCATTGGGAGGTGCTATGAAGACAGATTGTCATTTCTCAGAAGGAAGCACAGCCCTTCCTCCTGCCCTGGGATTGTGGATTTTCTTTGCCCCCCAACACTTCCCTTCACTGACTTCCTTGTTTCTGTAAGTCAGCACCATCTTTCTCTTCATCACTCCTTCTAAACCTCTGATTCATTTCTGCCTCCTCAGGGCCCCGTCCTCCCCTGGCAGAGCTCTCCATCCCATACTATAAATTCCTTCTCCAGGCACTGGGTTAAGAGCACAGGTTGGAGGCAATTCAGAGATCGAATTGAAGTTAGAGCTGAAACACTGTCATTCTTTAGCAGATACTTCCCCTTTCTGAGTCTCCTGTTCCTCATAGTGACGACATAGTGGCCTCTCCCCTCAGGATTGCTGTGATGCCTCAGGATTGCTGTGGTCCGGGGTGGTTTTGTATGTGGCTTGTAGGCATTGAGATGCCTGCAGTGTCAGAGTTCATATCACAGGGTCAATTGAAGGCCACAGCCAACATCCACTCCAAGCACACAGAAATGCCAGATAAAGGTTTGTAAGATACATGGCCACAGTTAAATTAGAGTAACTAAAGTGCCAGAAATGCAGAGTGACTCCCTAGACATAAGCAGAGACCAACACTGAGTGGGCTTGGTCATGGGTCCCAGAGATGGGCCCCAGGATCTGGTTTACTGTGTATGTATGGAGACAGGTGGCAAAGTTCCAGAGGAGACAGGGTTCCAGGTATAAGGTTGGGGGCTCTGAGCCTGCTGCCTGTCTGAACAGGGACTGCAATATCTCCACTCCCCGATCTGAGGTCACACCCAGAATTCAGCTCCTTTCTCCAGGTGTGAGCGAAAAATATTCAGTGCAATATGGGCAGGTATCTATGTAGTGTGGAGCTCAATTCTGAATACTCCATGCATTGCTGGCACCCTGAGTTTGGAACACCTACACATTGTGAGTCTGAAGCAACTGCAAGCTACTCACTTGTTTAGGACTTCACAATACAGGAGAATGGGGGTGATAACTTCTGTGAAGGGTTAGCTCAGTGGCAAAATGACCAAGTGTATGCGATCAACTATGCCATGAAAAACAGAGTACAGACCCAGTCACTGTGGGAATTCCCAACAAAGACGAGGGAGATAAATTGAAAATCGGGGTCTCTTGCTGCAGCAACGCGAGTGGGAGCACCAGGCGCCGGGCTTGGAGCGGAACACCACAGATCGCTTTAAGAAAATGGCAGACAAGCCGGACATGGGGGAAATTGCCAGCTTCGATAAGGCCAAGCTGAAGAAAACGGAGACGCAGGAGAAGAACACCCTGCCAACCAAAGAGACCATTGAGCAGGAGAAGCGAAGTGAAATTTCCTAAGAACCTAGAGGATTCCCCACCCCCGTCATCTTCGAGACACCCCAGTCGTGATGTGGAGGAAGAAGACCCACCTGCAAGATGGACACGAGCGACAAGCTGCACTGTGAACCCGGGCACTCCGTGCCGACGCCACCGGCCTGCGGGTCTCTGAGGGGACCCCCCCCAATCGGACTGCCAAATTCTCCGGTTTGCCCTGGGATATTATAGCAAATTATTTGTATGTTTAATGAAAATAAAACACACCTCGTGGCATGGCTGAAAAAAAAAATTGAAAATCGGGAAGAGATTTAAAAATAAGTATGCTTTAAATCTTCGAACAGAAGATGTGACATTCACGATACAAGAAGAGTTTAGTGGAAAAAAGGGTGCTAAGGAAATTTCATAGATAAAAACTCATTAATTGAATAAAAGGATTCAAAAGATCTATTCCATAATAGACATTAGATAACTGATCAGAAAACTGGGGACTTGGAAAATGAAACTCAGGAAGTATCCCAGAATGCAGCTGAACATAATAAAAATAGAAACCAAAAAGATAAAATCTGACACATGGAGAATAGAATAACTAAGTCCCAAGACACATTTGTCCTTCATTTTAGTGGAAGAAATGAGAGAATGATCAAGTGACAGCAATTAGGTATTGTTGTTAAGGGTTTTTTGGAAGTGAAACCAGAGAAATGGTCAGCATGGGCTATGAAAGCTGAACTGTTACTGGGAGCTACATCCTCGAAAGCAGGTCAAAATGTCAGCTAGTGGGATGCCTGGGTGGCTCAGTTGGTTAAGCGTCTGCCTTTGGCTCAGATCATGATCCCAGGGTTCTGGGATCGAGCCCTGTATTGGGCTCCCTGCTCAGCAGGGAGCCTGCTTCTCCCTCTGCCTCTCCCCCTGCTTGTGCTCTCTCTGACAAATAAATAAAATCTTAAAAAAAAAAAAAGTGTACCTACCCAGTTGACAACCTGCTCAAACAAACAAAAATCCACATTCCCCAGAAGATTTTATCAGAACCCAGTGTCTTCCAATGTAATATTCAAAGAAACAGGAAAGTCTCAGTTACACTCAAAGGAAAAATAATCAACAGACACCAACCCTGAGTTCGCCAACAGTTTAAAGCCATTTTTTAAAAGATTTATTTATTTATTTTGGGGGAGGGGCAAAAGGAGAGAGAGAGAGATCTCAAGCAGACTCCCTGTTGAGCTCGGAGCCCAAAGTGCAGCTCCATCTAATGACCCTGAGATCATGACCTGAACCAAAATCAAGAGTCACTTGCCTAACTGACTGGGCCACCCAGGTGCCCCTAAAGCCATTTTTATAATCAAGCTTCATGAAATAAGGACAAACACTCTTGAAATAAATGGAAAAAATAGACTTCTCTCAGCAAAGAAATTATAAGAGGGGGGAAAAAAGGAAATTTTAGAACTGAAAAATTCAGTAACTGAAATTAAAAATTCCTGTGTCTAATGACAGAATGAAGATGACAGAGGCAAGAGTCAGTGAACTTGAAAACAGAACAAGGGAAATTACAATCTGAGCAGTAGAGAAAAAAAGATTTTTAAAAATGAACACAGGGGTGCCTGGGTGGCTCAGATGGTTAAGCGTCTGTCTCCGGCTCAGGTCCTGGTCCCGGGGTCCTGGGATAGAGCCCCATATCGGGCTCCTGGCTCGGCGGGAAGCCTGCTTCTCCCTCTCCCTCTGCCTCTCCCCCCGCTCAGGCTCTCTCTCTCTCTCTCTCTCTATCTCTGGATCTCAAATGAATAATTAAAATCTTAAAAAAAAGAAATAAAAATGAACACAGATTGAGGGATTTGTGAGACAATTTATATAATTGATCTGCCAGCAAAAGGAGAATGCTATCAGTGAAGAAAAAAAGTTTGAAGAAATAAATGTCCATTTTACAGATTTGTTGAAAGTCATACATTTACATGTCCAAGATGCTCAGCAAATGAAAAATAGTATAAGCTTTAAAAACCATGCCCACCTACATCATAATTAAACTAGTCAAAACCAAAAAAGAAAAAAA